GACAGGTGGGTGAGGGAGGCAGGAGGGTGAGAGAGGCAGGAGGGTGGGGGAGCCAGGTGGGTGAGGGAGGCAGGAGGAGGAGGAGGAGGCATGTGGGTGAGGGAGGCGGCGTGGCAGGTCTGCGCAGGGAGGGAGGGTGGCCAGGGCACGGAAGCATCAGCCGCACCGCCGAGCGAGTGTCTGCCAGCAACCCACCTCAGTATCGCCACGAAAATACACACACAGCCACACGCTGTCGCCCCAGCAGGCTACACTCTGCCCTTGCTCGCCCCTTCTGCAGGAGCCGTGGCGAGCTGGCGGAGCTGTGTGGGGAGTGGGGAGGCCGCGGGTGTGTGAGGGGGATGCGAGATGCTAGAGAAAGATGAGCTGGGATGTGGCGGAGGCTGGTTATACATGTGGAAAACATGACAGCCGCCATCGGCAGTGTGTGTGGCCCTCTCTACCTATCATACGCTCCAATCAGGCTCTTGGGCCCCACCTCCGGCTGAGAAAGTGTTGAAAATACAAAGCTGTGTGCGCTGTACATTTTATACGTATATATTTATATATATAGAGAGAGATATATATATATACACACATATATTGGTGTGTTGTGTTAGCAACTGTTGTGATTAACGGTGTTTAGTGGCCCCGGGGACGCCTCCTGCTCCCCAGTGACGGGACCCCTGAAGGAGATCCCCAGGAACCCTACACTGCTCCCCATGACCCCACCCACTCTCCCCAGCACCCCAGACCCCACTGCTCCCCAGCACACCAGACCCCACTGCTCCTAGGCCTCCCCAGACCCCACTGCTCCCCAGCACCCAGACCCCACTGCTCCCCAGCACCCAACCGTCCCCTGCTCCCCAGCACCCCAGGACCCCCACACCCTCCCCAGCACCCCTCCACTCTCCCCAGCACCCCAGACCCACTGTATCTCCCCAGCACACCCCACCCCACTGCTCCCCAGCACCCCAGCAACCCACTCTCCCCAGGACCCCCAGCACTGCTCCCCAGCACCCCAGACCCCACTGCTCCCCAGCACCCCCAACACTGCTCCCCAGCACCCCAGACCCCACTGCTCCCAGCACCCCAGACTCCCCTGCTCCCCACCTCCCCAGGACCCACTGCTCCCCAGCACCCCAGGACCCCCACTGCTCCCCAGCACCCCAACACCACCTCCCCAGGCCCCCCAGCTCCCCAGCACCCCCCACTGCTCCCCAGCACCCCAGACCACACTGCTCCCCAGCACCCCAACCCCTCCACCCCACTGCTCCCCAGCACCCCCCAACCCCTGCTCCCCAGCACCCCCACCATCCCCTGCTCCCCAGCACACCAGACCCCACTGCTCCCCAGCACCCCAGACCCCACTGCTCCCCAGCACCCCCCCCACTGCTCCCCAGCACCCCAGACCCCACTGCTCCCCAGCACCCCAGACCCCACTGCTCCCCAGCACCCCAGACCCCACTGCTCCCCAGCACCCCAGACCCCACTGCTCCCCAGCACACCAGACCCCACTGCTCCCCAGCACCCCAACCCACTCCTCCCCAGCACCCCAAACCCCCACTGCTCCCCAGCACCCCAGACCCCACTGCTCCCAAGCACCCCAGGACCCACTGCTCCCCAGCACCCCAGACCCACCCTGGTCCCCAGCGCCCCAGGACCCCCTGCTCCCCAGCACCCCCCCACTGCTCCCCAGCACACCAGACCCCACTGCTCCCCAGCACCCCACCCACTGCCCCAGCACCCCAGACCCCAGGACCCACTGCTCCCCAGGACCCCCACACTGCTCCCCAGCACCCCAGGACCACTGCTCCCCAGCACACCAGACCCCACTGCTCCCCAGCACCCCACACTCCCACTGCTCCCCAGCACACCAGACCCACTGCTCCCCAGCACCCCAGGACCCCACTGCTCCCCAGCACACCAGACCTCACTGCTCCCCAGCACCCCAGACCCCACTGCTCCCCAGCACCCCAGGACCCATTGCTCCCCAGCACACCAGACCCCACTGCTCCCCAGCACCCCAGACCCCACTGCTCCCCAGCACCCCAGACCCCCTGCTCCCCAGCACCCCAGACCCCACTGCTCCCCAGCACCCCAGACCCCACTGCTCCCCACCACCCCAGACCCCACTGCTCCCCAGCACACCAGACCCCACTGCTCCCCAGCACCCCAACACACTCCCCACTGCTCCCCAGCACCCCAGACCCCACCTCCCCAGCACCCCAGACTCCCCAGCTCCCCAGCACCCCAGACCCCACTGCTCCCCAGCACCCAGACCCCCACTGCTCCCCAGCACCCCAGACTCCCCTGCACCCCCAGCACCCCAGGACCCCCTGCTCCCCAGCACCCCAGACTCCCCTGCTCCCCAGCACCCCAGACCCCAACTGCTCCCCAGCACCCCAGACCCCACAGCACCCCCACACCCCAGGACCCCACTGCTCCCCAGCACCCCAGACCCCACTGCTCCCCAGCACACCAGACCCCACTGCTCCCCAGCACTGCTCCCCAGCACCCCAGGACCCATTGCTCCCCAGCACACCAGACCCCACTGCTCCCCAGCACACCAGACCCCAGGACTCCCCAGCACCCCAGGACCCCACTGCTCCCCAGCACCCCAGACCCCACTGCTCCCCAGCACCCCAGACCCCACTGCTCCCAGCACCCCAGACCCCACTGCTCCCCAGCACCCCAGAACCCACTGCTCCCCAGCACCCCAGACCCCCCTGCTCCCCACACACTCCCCAGACCCCACTGCTCCCCAGCACCCCAGACACTGCTCCCCAGCACCCCAGACCCCACTGCTCCCCAGCACCCCAGACCCCACTGCCTCCCCAGCACCCCAGACCCCACTGCTCCCCAGCACCCCAGACCCCACTGCTCCCCAGCACACCAGACCCCACTGCTCCCCAGCACCCCAGAACCCCAGCTCCCCCACCACCCCAGACCCCACTGCTCCCCAGCACCCCAGACTCCCCAGCTCCCCACCACCCCAGACCCCACACCCTCCCCAGCACCCCAGACCCCACTGCTCCCCAGCACCCCAGACCCCACTACCCCAGCACCCCACACAACCCCAGCAGCCCCCAGCACCCCAGCACCCCACTGCTCCCCAGCACCCCAGACCCCCACTGCTCCCCAGCACACCCCAGACCCCACTGCTCCCCAGCACCCCAGACCCCACTGCTCCCCAGCACCCCAGACCACACTGCTCCCCAGCACCCAGACCCCACTGCTCCCCAGCACCCCAGAACCCACTGCTCCCCAGCACCCCAGCACCCCACTGCTCCCCAGCACCCCCCACCCACTGCTCCCAGCACCCCACACCCCACTGCTCCCACGCACACCAGACCCCACTGCTCCCCAGCACCCCAAACACTGCTCCCCAGCACCCCACAACCCACTGCTCCCCAGCACCCCAGACCCAACTGCTCCCCAGCACCCCAGAACCCCTGCTCCCCAGCACACCAACCCCACTGCTCCCCAGCACCCCAGACCCCACTGCTCCCCAGCACACCAGACCCCACCTCCCCAGCACCCCACCCACTGCTCCCCAGCACACCACTGCTCCCCAGCACCCCAGACCCCACCCTCCCCAGCACCCCAGACCCCACTGCTCCCCAGCACCCCAGACCCCACTGCTCCCCAGCACCCCAGACCCCACTGCTCCCCAGCACACCAACCCCACTGCTCCCCAGCACCCCACAACCACTGCTCCCCAGCACCCCAGCACCCACTGCTCCCCAGCACCCCACCCACTCCCCAGCACCCCAGACCCCCTGCTCCCCACACCCAGAACCCACTGCTCCCCAGCACCCCAGACCCCACTGCTCCCCAGCACCCCAGCACCCACTGCTCCCCAGCACCCCAGACCCCACTGCTCCCCAGCACCCCAGCACCCCACTGCTCCCCAGCACCCCAGGACCCACTGCTCCCCAGCACCCCAGACCCCACTGCTCCCCAGCACCCCAGACCCCACTGCTCCCCAGCACCCCAGAACCCACTGCTCCCCAGCACCCCAGACCCCACTGCTCCCCAGCACCCCAGACCCCACTGCTCCCCAGCACCCCAGAACTCCCCAGCACCCCAGAACTCACTGCTCCCCAGCACCCCAGACCCCACTGCACCCCAGCACCCCAGCACCCACCACTCCCCAGCACCCCAGACCCCACTGCTCCCCAGCAATCCCAGACCCCACTGCTCCCCAGCACCCCACAACCCCACTGCTCCCCAGCACACCAGACCCCACTGCTCCCCAGCACCCCAGAACCCACTGCTCCCCAGCACCCCAGACCCCACTGCTCCCCAGCACCCCAGACCCCACTGCTCCCCAGCACCCCAGAACCCACTGCTCCCCAGCACCCCAGCACCCCACTGCTCCCCAGCACCCCAGAACCCACTGCTCCCCAGCACACCAGACCCCACTGCTCCCCAGCACCCCAGAACCCACTCCTCCCCAGCACCCCACATTGCTCACCAGACCCCACTGCTCCCCAGCACCCCAGAACCCACTGCTCCCCAGCCTCCCAGACCCCACTGCTCCCCAGCACCCCAGACCCCACTGCTCCCCAGCACCCCACCACCCCAGCACCCCACCTCCCCAGCACCCCACAACCCCAGCACCCCACCTCCCCAGCACCCCACAAACTGATATTTGTCAACAGGATTCAAATAAGTAAAACGAAGTCACGAGATACAGCATCATTTTACGCACTTCATGCCATGAGTGGTACAGTGACTTCCTTAACGTAAACAGTGACATCTAGTGATATGTTACCGCTGATGACGTCACGAATTGGTCACTATTGATAACTTCGAAAGGTTGGTATTATGACGTCACAAAATATTAACCAATGGCAACACGAATGAAATACTAACCAATAGCAAGGCTAGTATGACGGTGACGTCACATTATGGGAGCCAATGGTAGCGTCAGCAGGTATGATGACGTCACGGCATATAAAGTTGGTTGCTAGGGTGGGATTGATGTGTGTATGAAGGGAGGGATTGATGTGTTTATGAAGGGTGGGATTGATGTGTTTATGAAGGGAGGGATTGATGTGTTTATGAAGGATGGGATTGATGTGTTTATGAAGGGTGGGATTGATATGTTTATGAAGGGAGGGATTGATGTGTTTATGAAGGGTGGGATTGATGTGTTTATGAAGGGTGGGATTGATGTGTTTATGAAGGGAGGGATTGATGTGCTTATGAAGGGTGGGATTGATGTGTGTATGAAGGGTGGGATTGATGTGTTTATGAAGGGTGGGATTGATGTGTTTATGAAGGGAGGGATTGATGTGCTTATGAAGGGTGGGATTGATGTGTGTATGAAGGGAGGGATTGATGTGTTTATGAAGGGAGGGATTGATGTGTGTATGAAGGGAGGGATTGATGTGTTTATGAAGGGTGGGATTGATGTGTTTATGAAGGGTGGGATTGATGTGTTTATGAAGGGAGGGATTGATGTGTTTATGAAGGGAGGGATTGATGTGTTTATGAAGGGTGGGATTGATGTGTTTATGAAGGGTGGGATTGATGTGTTTATGAAGGGAGGGATTGATGTGTTTATGAAGGGAGGGATTGATGTGTTTATGAAGGGTGGGATTGATGTGTGTATAAAGGGAGGGATTGATGTGTTTATGAAGGGTAGGATTGATGTGTTTATGAAGGGTGGGATTGATGTGTTTATGAAGGGTGGGATTGATGTGTTTATGAAGGGTGGAATTGATGTGTTTATGAAGAGTGGGATTGATGTGTTTATGAAGGGTGGGATTGATGTGTGTATGAAGGGAGGGATTGATGTGTTTATGAAGGGTGGGATTGATGTGTTTATGAAGGGTGGGATTGATGTGTGTATGAAGGGAGGGATTGATGTGTTTATGAAGGGTGGGATTGATGTGTTTATGAAGGGTGGGATTGATGTGTTTATGAAGGGAGGGATTGATGTGTTTATGAAGGGAGGGATTGATGTGTTTATGAAGGGTGGGATTGATGTGTTTATGAAGGGTGGGATTGATGTGTTTATGAAGGGAGGGATTGATGTGTTTATGAAGGGAGGGATTGATGTGCTTTTGAAGGGTGGGATTGATGTGTTTATGAAGGGAGGGATTGATGTGTTTATGAAGGGAGGGATTGATGTGTTTATGAAGGGTGGGATTGATGTGTTTATGAAGGGTGGGATTGATGTGTTTATGAAGGGAGGGATTGATGTGCTTTTGAAGGGTGGGATTGATGTGTTTATGAAGGGTGGGATTGATGTGTTTATGAAGGGTGGGATTGATACAAGGTTAAAATGCTAATATAATAATAATGAACCAAGTAATACAAGCAAGGAGTGCTAACCTCCCACCAGCCAATAACAGCCGTCCTCGCCACTAGGTTGTGTGATAGGTAAACAATGACGTCACAACCACACAGCATGGCGCAAGGTAAACAATGACGTCACAACCACACAGCATGGCGCAAGGTAAACAATGACGTCACAACCACACAGCATGGCGCAAGGTAAACAATGACGTCACAACCACACAGCATGGCGCAAGGTAAACAATGACGTCACAACCACACAGCATGACGCAAGGTAAACAATGACGTCACAACCACACAGCATGGCGCAAGGTAAACAATGACGTCACAACCACACAGCATGTCGCAAGGTAAACAATGACGTCACAACCACACAGCATGGCGCAAGGTAAACAATGACGTCACAACCACACAGCATGACGCAAGGTAAACAATGACGTCACAACCACACAGCATGACGCAAGGTATACAATGACGTCACAACCAGTTTCCTTAGGAGTTATTGTAAAGAGATTAAGACAAATATTATGTTGTTTAGGAATACGTTTACAGCACTACTACTGTAACTACTACTACTACTACTACTACTACTACTACTGGAGTAACTACTACAACTACTGTTGGTGTGACTACCACCAGTTACATTACTGTTGTGACAACTTCTTCTGCTGTGACAACTACTACTGTTGTGACAACTTCTTCTGCTGTGACAACTACTACTGTTGTGACAACTACTAGTTTTGTGACAACTACTACTGTTCTGACTACTACTACTGTTGTGACAACTACTAAAGTTGTGACTACTACTACTGTACTACTGTTGTGACTACTACTACTGTACTACTGTTGTTACTACGACTACTCTTGTGACTACGACTACTGTTATGACTACTTCTACTGTTGTGACTACTACTGTTGTGACTACTACTGTTGTGACTACTACTGTTGTGACTACTACTGTTATGGCTACTACTGTTATGATTACTACTACCGTTGTGACTACTACTGTTATTGCCACTACTACTACTGTTGTGACTTCTACTACCGTTGTGACTAATCCTGTTGCGACTACTACTGTTGTAACTACTACTGTTATGACTACTACTACTACTACTGTTGTGACTACTACTGCTGTGCCTACTACTACTGTTGTAACTACTAACACTGTTGTGACTACTACTGTTATGACTACTACTACTACTACTGTTGTGACTACTACTGCTGTGCCTACTACTACTGTTGTAACTACTACTATTGTTGTGACTACTACTGTTATGACTACTACTGTTATGATTACTACTACCGTTGTGACTACTACTGTTGTGACTACTACTGTTATGACTACTACTACTGTTGTGACTACTACTGTTGTGAGTACAACTGTGGTGACTACTACTGTTGTGTCAACTACTACTGTTGTGACAACTACTACTGTTGTGACTACTACTACTGTTGTGACTACTACTGTTGTGATTACTAGTACTGTTGTGACTACTACTGTTCTGACAACTACTACTGTTGTGACTACTACTTCTGTTGGGACAACTACTGTTGTGAGTACTACTGTTGTGACTACTTCTACTGTTGTGATTACTACTGTTGTGATTACTACTGTTGTGATTTCTACTGTTGTGATTACTACGACTGTTGTGACTACTACTACTGTTGTGACTACAACTACTGTTGTGACAACTACTGTTGTGACTACGTCTATTGTTGTGACTACTACTGTTGTGACAATTACTGTTGTGACTACTACTGTTGTGACTTCTACTGTTGTGACTACTACTACTACTATTATGAATACTACTGTTGTGACTACTACTACTGTTGTGACTTCTACTGTTGTGACAACTACTACTGTTGTGACTACTACTGTTGTGACTACTACTGTTGTGACTACTACTGTTGTGAGTACTACTGTGGTGACTACTACTGCTGTGCCTTCTACTACTGTTGTGACTACTACTACTGTTGTGACAACTACTGTTGTGACTACTACTGTTGTGACTACTTCTATTGTTGTGACTACTACTGTTGTGATTACTACTGTTGTGATTACTACTGTTGTGATTACTACGACTGTTGTGACTACTACTGTTGTGACAACTACTGTTGTGACTACTACTGTTGTGACTTCTACTGTTGTGACTACTACTGTTGTGACTACTATTACTGTTGTGACTACTACTATTGTTGTGACTACTACGGCTGTTGTGTCTACTACTGTTGTGATTACTGCTACTGTTATGACAACTACTACTGTTTTGACTACTACTGTTTTGTCTATAACTATTGTTGTGACTACTACTGTTGTGACAACTACTGTTGTGACTACTACTGTTGTAACAACTACTGTTGTGACTACTTTTGTTGTGACTACTACTGTTGTGACTACTACTACTGTTGTGACTACTACTACTGTTGTGACTACTACTACTGTTGTGACTACTACTACTGTTCTGACTACTACTACTGTTGTGACAACTACTAAAGTTGTGACTACTACTACTACTACTGTTGTGATTACTACTACTGCTGTGACTACTACTACTGTTGTGACTTCTACTACTGTTGTGACTACTACTACTGTTCTGACTACTACTACTGTTGTGACAACTACTAAAGTTGTGACTACTACTACTACTGTTGTGACTACTACTGTTTTGACTACTACTACTGTTGTGACTACTACTATTGTTGTGACTACTACTGTTATGACTACTACTACTGTTGTGACTACTACTGTTGTGACAACTACTGTTGTGACTACTACTGTTGTGACTACTACTGTTGTGACTAGTACTACTGTTGTGACTACTCCTATTGTGACTACTACTGTTGTGACAACTACTTCTGTTGTGAGTACTACTACTGTTGTGTCTACTACTGCTGTGCCTACTAATACTGTTGTGAATACTACTACTGTTGAGACTACAACTGTTGTGACTTCTGCTGTTGTGACTACTACTACCGTTGTGACTACAACTGTTGTGACTGCTAGTTTGTTGTGACTACTACTGGGTTGACTACTACTGATGTGACTACTACTGTTGTGATTAATACTGTTGTGACTTATATTGTTGTGACTACTATTGTTATGACAATTACTACTGTTGTGACTACTACTGTTGTGACTTCTACTACTGTTGTGATTTATATTACTGTTTGACTACTACTACTGTTGTGACTATTACTACTGTTGTGACTACTAAAGTTGTGACTACTAAAGTTGTGACTACTACTACTACTGTTGTGACTACGACTAATGTTGTGATTACTACTACTGTTGTGATTACTACTACTGTTGAGACTACTACTACTGTTGTGACTTCTATTACTGTTGTGATTTATAATACTGTTGTGACTACTACTACTGTTGTGACTATTACTACTGTTGTGACTATTACTACTGTTGTGACTACTACTGCTGTGCCTACTACTACTATCGTGACTATTACTACTGTTTTGATTATTACTACTATTGTTGTGACTACTACTATTGTGACAACTACTACTGTTGTGAGTACTATTGTGGTGACAACTACTGCTGTGCCTACTACTACTATTATGACTACTACTACTGTTGTGACTACTACTACTGTTGTGACAACTACTGTTGTGACTACTACTGTTGTGACTACTTCTATTGTTGTGACTACTACTGTGGTGATTACTACTGTTGTGATTACTACGACTGTTGTGACTTCTACTGTTGTGACAACTACTGTTGTGACTACTACTGTTGTGACTACTACTGTTGTGATTTCTACTGTTGTGATTACTACGACTGTTGTGACAACTACTGTTGTGACAACTACTGTTGTGACAACTACTGTTGTGACAACTACTGTTGTGACTACTACTGTTGTGACTACTTCTATTGTTGTGACTACTAATGTTGTGACTACTACTGTTGTGACTTCTACTGTTGTGACAACTACTACTGTTGTGAGTACTACTGTTGTGAATACAACTGTGGTGACTACTAATGCTGTGCCTTCTACTACTGTTGTGACTACAACTACTGTTGTGACAACTACTGTTGTGACTACTACTGTTGTGACTACTTCTATTGTTGTGACTACTACTGTTGTGATTACTACTGTTGTGACTACTACTGTTGTGACAACTACTGTTGTGACTACTACTGTTGTGACTTCTACTGTTGTGACTACTACTGTTGTGACTACTATTACTGTTGTGACTACTACTATTGTTGTGACTACTACGGCTGTTGTGACTACTACTGTTGTGATTACTACTACTGTTATGACAACTACTACTGTTTTGACTACTACTATTGTTGTGCCTACTACTTTTGTGACTACTACTACTGTTGTGACTACTACCGTTGTGACTAATCCTGTTGTGACTACTACTGCCGTGACTACTACTACTGTTGTGACTACTACTACTGTTGTGACAACTACTGTTGTGACTACTACTGTTGTAACAACTACTGTTGTGACTACTTTTTTGTGACTATTACTGTTCTGACTACTACTGTTGTGACTACTACTACTGTTTTGACTTCTTCTCTTGTGACAACTAGAACTGTTGTGACTACTACTGTTGTGACTACTACTACTGTTGTGACTACTCCTGTTGTGAATACTACTGTTGTGACTACTACTACTGTTGTGACTACTAGTACTGTTGTGACAACTACTACTGTTGTGACTACTACTGTTTTGACTACTACTATTGTTGTGACTACTACTGTTGTGACTACTACTGTTGTGACTACTACTGTTGTGACTACTTCTATTGTTGTGACTACTACTGTTGTGATTACTACTGTTGTGATTACTACGACTGTTGTGACTACTACTGTTGTGACTACTACTGTTGTGACTACTACTGTTGTGACTACTACTGTTGTGACTACTACTGTTGTGACTACTACTGTTGTGACTACTACTGTTGTGACTACTACTGTTGTGACTACTACTGTTGTGACAACTACTGTTGTGACTACGTCTATTGTTGTGACTACTACTGTTGTGACAATTACTGTTGTGACTACTACTGTTGTGACTTCTACTGTTGTGACTACTACTGTTGTGAGTACTACTGTGGTGACTACTAATGCTGTGCCTTCTACTACTGTTGTGACTACAACTACTGTTGTGACAACTACTGTTGTGACTACTACTGTAGTGACTTCTTCTATTGTTGTGACTACTTTTGTTGTGATTACTACTGTTGTGATTACTACGACTGTTGTGACTACTACTGTTGTGACAACTACTGTTGTGACTACTATTGTTGTGACTATTACTGTTGTGACTACTACTGTTTTGACTACTACTGTTTTGTCTACTACTATTGTGGTGACTACTACTGTTGCGACAACTACTGTTGTGACTACTACTGTTATGACAACTACTGTTGTGACTACTTTTGTTGTGACTACTACTGTTGTGACTACTAATACTTTTGTGACTACTCCTTTTGTGACTACTACTGTTGTGACTTCTTCTACTCTTTTGGCTTCTACTCTTGTGACAACTGGAACTGTTGTGACTACTACTATTGTTGTGACTACTACTACTGTTGTGACTGCTCCTGTTGTGAATACTACTGTTGTGATTACTGCTACTGTTGTCACTACTACTACTGTTGTGACAACTACTGCTGTTGTGACTACTACTGTTTTGACTACTACTATTGTTGTGACTACTACTGTTGTGACAGCTACTGTTGTGACTACTACTACTGTTGTGACTACTACTACTGTTGTGATTACTACGTCTGTTGTGACTACTACTACTGTTGTGACTACTACTGCTGTTGTGACAACTACTACTGTTGTGACTACTTCTGTTATGACTACTACTATTGTTGTGACTACTACCGTTGTGACAACTACTGTTGTGACTATTATTGTTTTGACTGCTCCTGTTGTCACTACTATTGTTGTGACAACTACTACTGTTGTGAGTACTATTGTGGTGACAACTACTGCTGTGCCTACTACTACTATTGTGACTACTACTACTGTTGTGACTACTACTACTGTTGTGACAACTACTGTTGTCACAACTATTACTGTTGTGACAACTACTGCTGTCACAACTACTACTGTTGTGACTCTTACTAATGTTGTGATTACTACTACTGATGTGATTACTACTACTGTTGTGACTTCTACTACTGTTGTGACTATTACTACTGTTGTGACAACTACTACTGTTGTGACTATTACTACTGTTGTGACAACTACTACTGTTGTGACTATTACTACTGTTGTGACTACTACTACTGTTGTGACTATTACTACTGTTGTGACTACTACTGTGATGACTACTACTGCTGTTGTGACAGCTAGTTCTGCTGTGACTACTACTACTGTTGTGACTACTCCTGTTGTGAATACTACTGTTGTAACTACTACTACTGTTGTGAGAACTACTAAAGTTGTGACTACTACTACTACTACTGTTGTGATTACTACTACTGCTGTGACTACTACTACTGTTGTGACATCTACTACTGTTATGACTACTACTACTACTGTTCTGACAACTACTTCTGTTGTGACAACTACTAAAGTTGTGACTAGTACTACTACTGTTGTGATTGCTACTACTGCTGTGACAACTGCTACTGTTGTGACTACTACCGTTGTGACAACTACTGTTGTGACTACTACTATTGTTGTGACTACTTCTGTTGTGAGTACTACTACTGTTGCGTCTACTACTGCTGTGCCTACTAATACTGTTGTGAATACTACTACTGTAGTGAATACTACTGTTGTGACTTCTACTGTTGTGACTACTACTATCGTTGTGACTACTACTGACGTGACTACTGCTGTTGTGATTAATACTGTTGTGACTTCTTTTGTTGTGACTACACTTGTTATGACAACTACTACTGTTGTGACTACTACTGTTGTGACTTCTACTACTGTTGTGACTAATACTACTGTTGTGACTACTACTACTGTTGTGACTACTACTACTGTTGTGACTACTACTACTGTTGTGACTACTACTACTGTTGTGACTACTACTACTGTTGTGACTACTACTACTGTTGTGATTACTACTACTGTTGTGACAACTACTACTGTTGTTACTACTACTGACGTGACTACTGCTGTTGTGATTAATACTGTTGTGACTTCTTTTGTTGTGACTACACTTGTTATGACAACTACTACTGTTGTGACTACTACTGTTGTGACTTCTACTACTGTTGTGATTTATAATACTGTTGTGACTACTAGTACTGTTGTGACTACTACTATTGTTGTGATTACTACTATTGTTGTCACTACTACTACTGTTGTGACAACTACTACTGTTGTGACTACTATTGTTTTGACTACTACTATTGTTGTGATAACTACCGTTGTGACAACTACTGTTGTGACTATTATTGTTGTGACTACTCCTGTTGTGACTACTATTGTTGTGACAACTACTGCTGTTGTGAGTACTACTGTGGTGACTACTACTGCTGTGCCTACTACTACTATTGTGACTACTACTACTGTTTTGATTATTAGTACTATTGTTGTGACTACTACTATTGTGACAACTACTACTGTTGTGAGTACTACTGTGGTGACGACTACTGTTGTGCCTTCTACTACTGTTGTGACAACTACTGTTGTGACTACTACTGTTGTGACTACTTCTATTGTTGTGACTACTACTGTTGTGATTACTACTGTTGTGATTACTACGACTGTTGTGACTTCTACTGTTGTGACAACTACTGTTGTGACTACTACTGTTGTGACTACTACTGTTGTGACTTCTACTGTTGTGATTACTACTGCTGTGATTACTACGACTTTTGTGACTACTACTACTGTCGTGACAACTACTGTTGTGACTACTACTTTTGTGACTACTACTGTTGTGACTACTACTGTTGTGACTACTACTGTTGTGACTACTACTACTGTTGTGACTACTCCTGTTGTGAATACTACTGTTGTGACTATTAATACTGTTTTGACTCCTACTCTTGTGACAACTAGAACTGTTGTGACTACTACTGTTTTGAATACTACTACTGCAGGCGATGAGTCACAATAACGTGGCTGAAGTATGTTGACCAGACCACACACTAGAAGTTGAAGGAACGACGACGTTTCGGTCCGTCCTGGACCATTCCCAAGTCGATTCGACTTGAGAATGGTCCAGGACGGACCGAAACGTCGTCGTTCCTTCAATTTCTAGTGTGTGGTCTGGTCAACAATACTACTACTGTTGTGACTACTACTACTGTTGTGACTACTACTACTGTTGTGATTACTACTACTGTTGTCACTACTACTCCTGTTGTGACAACTACTACTGTTGTGACTACCACTGTTTTGACTAATACTATTGTTGTGACTACTACTGATGTGACAACTACTGTTGTGACTATTACTACTGTTGTGAGTACTACTACTGTTGTGATTACTACGTCTGTTGTGACTACTACTACTGTTGTGACTACTACTGTTGTGACTACTACTATTGTTGTGACTACTACTGATGTGACAACTACTGTTGTGACTATTACTACTGTTGTGAGTACTACTACTGTTGTGATTACTACGTCTGTTGTGACTACTACTACTGTTGTGACTACTACTGCTGTTGTGACAACTACTACTGTTGTGACTACTTCTGTTATGACTACTACTATTGTTGTGACTACTACCGTTGTGACAACTACTGTTGTGACTATTACTGTTGTGACTACTCCTGTTGTGACAACTACTACTGTTGTGAGTACTATTGTGGTGACAACTACTGCTGTGCCTACTACTACTATTGTGACTACTACTACTGTTTTGATTATTACTACTATTGTTGTGACTACTGCTATTGTGACAACTACTGTTGTTGTGATTACTACTGTGGTGACGACTACTGCTGTGCCTTCTACTACTGTTGTGACTACTACTACAGTTGTGACAACTACTGTTATGACTAATACTGTTGTGACTGCTTCTATTGTTGTGACTACTACTACTTTTGTGACAACTACTATTGTGACTACTACTACTGTTGTGACAACTACTATTGTGACTAATACTGATGTAACTGCTTCTATTGTTGTGACTACTACTGTTATGATTACTACTGTTGTGATTACTACGACTGTTGTGACAACTACTGTTGTGACTACTACTGTTGTGACTACTACTGTTGTGATTACTACGACTGTTGTGACTTCTACTGTTGTGACAACTACTGTGATGACTACTACTGTGATGACTACTACTGTGATGACTACTACTGTGATGACTACTACTGTGATGACTACTGCTGTGACTACTACTACTGTTGTGACAACCACTACTGTTGTGACTACTACTACTGTTGTGACTACTACTGTTGTGACTACTACTGTTGTGATTACTACGCCTGTTGTGACTACTACTGTTGTGACAACTACTGTGATGACTACTACTGTGATGACCACTACTGTGATGACTACTACTGTGATGACTACTACTGTGATGACCACTACTGTGATGACTACTACTGTGATGACTACTACTGTGATGACTACTACTGTGATGACTACTACTGTGATGACTACTACTGTGACTACTACTGTGATGACTACTACTGTGATGACTACTACTGTTGTTGCGACTATTAATATTGTTCTTCTTTTTCTATTACTTTTATCATATATACATTTACAATTTTGAATCGAATTGTCTTGAAGGACAAATTGTCTGTGGCCCCCAATGTGGCCACTGTGGCCCCCAACGTGGCCACAGGGGCAACACGTGGCCCCTGTGGCCCCCCCAACGTGGCCACAGGGGCAACACGTGGCCCCTGTGGCCCCCCCAACGTGGCCACAGAGGCAACACGTGGCCACTGTGGCCCCCAACGTGGCCACATGGGCAACACGTGGCCACTGTGGCCCCCAACGTGGCCACTGTGGCCCCCAACGTGGCCACTGTGGCAACACGTGGCTCCTGTGGCCCCCAACGTGGCCACAGGGGCAACACGTGGCCCCTGTGGCCCCCCCAACGTGGCCACAGGGGCAACACGTGGCCCCTGTGGCCCCCCCAACGTGGCCACAGGGGCAACACGTGGCCACTGTGGCCCCCAACGTGGCCACATGGGCAACACGTGGCCACTGTGGCCCCCAACGTGGCCACATGGGCAACACGTGGCCACTGTGGCCCCCAACGTGGCCACTGTGGCCCCCAACGTGGCCACTGTGGCAACACGTGGCCACTGTGGCCCCCAACGTGGCCACTGTGGCCCCCAACGTGGCCACAGGGGCAACACGTGGCCCCTGTGGCCCCCCCAACGTGGCCACAGGGGCAACACGTGGCCCCTGTGGCCCCCCCAACGTGGCCACAGGGGCAACACGTGGCCCCTGTGGCCCCCCCAACGTGGCCACAGGGGCAACACGTGGCCCCTGTGGCCCCCCCAACGTGGCCACAGGGGCAACACGTGGCCCCTGTGGCCCCCCAACGTGGCCACAGGGGCAACACGTGGCCCCTGTGGCCCCCCCAACGTGGCCACAGAGGCAACACGTGGCCACTGTGGCCCCCAACGTGGCCACATGGGCAACACGTGGCCACTGTGGCCCCCAACGTGGCCACAGGGGCAACACGTGGCCCCTGTGGCCCCCCAACGAGGACACAGAGCAACACGTGGCCCCTGTGGCCCCCAACGCGGCCACAGAGCAACACGTGGCCCCTGTGGCCCCCAACGCGGCCACAGAGCAACACGTGGCCAAAGGACAACACGTGGCCACAGGACAACACGTGACCACAGAGCAACACGTGGCCACAGGACAACACGTGGCCCCTGTGGCCCCCAACGCGGCCACAGAGCAACACGTGGCCCCTGTGGCCCCCAACGTGGCCACAGAGCAACACGTGGCCCCTGTGGCCCCCCCAACGCGGCCACAGAGCAACACGTTTCCCCTGTGGCCCCCAACGCGGCCACAGAGCAACACGTGGCCCCTGTGGCCCCCAACGCGGCCACAGAGCAACACGTGGCCACTGTGGCCCCCAACGCGGCCACAGAGCAACACGTGGCCCCTGTGGCCCCCAACGCGGCCACAGAGCAACACGTGGCCCCCCAACGTGGCCACAGAGCAACACGTGGCCCCCCAACGTGGCCACAGAGCAACATGTGGCCCCTGTGGCCCCCCAACGTGGCCACTGAGAAACACGTGGCCCCTGTGGCCCCCCAACGTGGCCACAGAACAACACGTGGCCCCTGTGGCCCCCCAACGTGGCCACAGAGCAACACGTGGCCCCTGTGGCCCTCCAACGTGGCCACAGAGCAACACGTGGCCCCTGTGGCCCCCCAACGTGGCCACAGAGCAACACGTGGCCCCTGTGGCCCCCCAACGTGGCCACAGAGCAACACGTGGCCCCTGTGGCCCCCCAACGTGGCCACAGAGCAACACGTGGCCCCTGTGGCCCCCCAACGTGGCCACAGAGCAACACGTGGCCCCTGTGGCCCTCCCCCCCAACGTGGCCACAGGGGCAACACGTGGCCCCTGTGGCCCCCAATGTGGCCACAGAACAACACGTGGCCACAGGACAGCACGTGGCCACAGAGCAACACGTGGCCCCCAACGCGGCCACAGAGCAACACGTGGCCCCTGTGGCCCCCAACGTGGCCACAGAGCCACACGAGACACTAACGACTGTGGTTGGACCTTTGGTGGTGCCGTAATGTTTACATGCGACTCTTGGGGTCCATCAGGTTATATGATCTCCCTATACACCCAGAGGTGTGTATATATACACCCCATGTCCCGGAGTATACTCTGAGAGTATACTCCTAGTTCTCTTCAAGGATAGTATATACTTTATTGGATAGTCAGTAATGTTTTGTGTAGCCTTTATAACCTTAGGACCAACACCTAAGTTGATTGGCTTTTGAGGGAAATGTTAAATTCCTTATCCAAGTTTCTAAAGGCCGTTCTTATGTTAGCCAACCTTGCACATGCCGCTGATGTTATCCTCTTGATATGGGCTTCAGGAGTGTACTCGTTAATATTGTGGCAATTTGATGTCGACAACCATTAGGGTGTTTTACTGGTCGGGTTGAGGTGTTTGAAAGGACATTAAACTGTGTTCCACATTTATTGCATTTCGTTTTGATATATCATTCGATTAAATATTTTATTTTTAAGTTTTCCGACGTGAATATCTTATTGTTTAGTGATGTATTTCAAATGTGGTTAATCCTGTTTTTGATGAGATCAGTGTTTTAATGATGTTTTCTGCTATGTATACGTATATACATTATTGTATGTATATAATATTGTATAATAGAAAGGGGTGGAAGGAGATGTGTCACAGCCGTGCAGGCAGGTCAGCCCTCGAGGCTAGTGGATGGTGGGACTATTGTAGCCGTGCAGGCAGGTCAGCCCTCGAGGCTAGTGGATGGTGGGTCTATTGTAGCCGTGCAGGCAGGTCAGCCCTCGAGGCTAGTGGATGGTGGGACTATTGTAGCCGTGCAGGCAGGTCAGCCCTCGAGGCTAGTGGATGGTGGGACTATTGTAGCCGAGCAGGCAGGTCAGCCCTCGAGGCTAGTGGATGGTGGGTCTATTGTAGCCGTGCAGGCAGGTCAGCCCTCGAGGCTAGTGGATGGTGGGTCTATTGAGCCGTACAGGCAGGTCAGCCCTCGAGGCTAGTGGATGGTGGGACTATTGAGCCGTGCAGGCAGGTCAGCCCTCGAGGCTAGTGGATGGTGGGTCTATTGAGCCGTGCAGGCAGGTCAGCCCATGTCCCTATTAAGGAGAATGAGGGTGGTAATGAGACCACATCCCGTCCTCACAGTGCGTGGCGGCCCTGGCCATCTGGCCACATCCTTCATCTGGTCCCAACACCAGCAAGAAATGACGGCGTGGCTTCCGCTCCTGGGATTATGATGTTAAGAAAATAGGAAGTTACTTCCCCGCCATCTCCACATCATCCACAGACCCACACGTGACCCCATAAGCTCACGGTGGACCACCCCCGCCGTCCTTATCGCACCTGCTGCATGGGTCACTACTTTATGGCACGCGCTGAACGGCCGCGGTGTTGAGGGTCGGGACGCTGGTGAGGACTAGCTCTTCCCTGTTGTATCACTTGTTGTTTTTACGGTTAATGTTTCATGTCAAAAAAATTGCGGTCTGTTATGGGGCTGTTGGTGTGTTAGGGGGGCAGGTGGTATGTTAGGGGGGCTGGTGGTGTGTTAGAGGGGCTTGTGGTGTGTTAGGGGGGCTGGTGGTGTGTTAGGGGGGCTGGTGGTGTGTTACAGGGGGCTGGTGGTGTGTTAGAGGGGCTGGTGGTGTGTTGGGGGGGCTGGTGGTGTGTTGGGGGGGCTGGTGGTGTGTTAGGGGGGGTTGGTGGTGTGTTAGGGGGGATGGTGGTGTGTTAGGAGGGGCTGGTGGTGTGTTAGGGGGGCTGGTGGTGTGTTAGTGGGGCTGGTGGTGTGTTAGGGGGCTGGTGGTGTGTTACAGGGGGCTGGTGGTGTGTTAGAGGGGCTGGTGGTGTGTTGGGGGGGCTGGTGGTGTGTTAGGGGGGGTTGGTGGTGTGTTAGGGGGGCTGGTGGTGTGTTAGGAGGGGCTGGTGGTGTGTTAGGGGGGCTGGTGGTGTGTTAGGGGGGCTGGTGGTGTGTTAGGGGGCTGGTGGTGTGTTACGGGGGGCTGGTGGTATGTTATGGGGGCTGGTGGTGTGTTAGGGGGCTGGTGGTGTGTTAGGGGGGGCTGGTGGTGTGATAAGGGGGCTGGTGGTGTGTTAAGGGGGCTGGTGGTGTGTTAGGGGGGCTGGTGGTGTGTTAAGGGGGCTGGTGGTGTGTTAGGGGGGCTGGTGGTGTGTTAGGGGGTTGGTGGTGTGTTAGGGGGGCTAGTGGTGTGTTAGGGGGGGGGCTGGTGGTGTGTTAGGGGGCTGGTGGTGCGGTAAGGGGACTGATGGTGTGGTAGGGGGGGCTGGTGGTGTGTTAGGGGGGGCTGGTGGTGTGTTAAGGGGGCTGGTGGTGTGTTAAGGGGGCTGGTGGTGTGTTAGGGGGTTGGTGGTGTGTTAGGGGGGCTGGTGGTGTGTTAGGGGGGGCTGGTGGTGTGTTAAGGGGGCTGGTGGTATGTTAAGGGGGGCTGGTGGTGTGTTAGGGGGGCTGGTGGTGTGTTAGGGGGCTGGCGGTGTGTTAGGGAGCTGGTAGTGTGTTAGGGGGGCTGGTGGTATGTTAGGGGGGGCTGGTGGTATGTTAGGGGGCTGGTGGTTTGTTTAGGGGGCTGGTGGTATGTTAAGGGGGGCTGGTGGTGTGTTAGGGGGGCTGGTGGTGTGTTAGGGGGCTGGTGGTGTGTTAGGGGGCTGGTGGTGTGTTAGGGGGGCTGGTGGTGTGTTATGGGGGCTGGTGGTGTGTTATGGGGGCTGGTGGTGTGTTAGGGGGGCTGGTGGTGTGTTAGGGGGGGCTGGTGGTGTGTTAGGGGGCTGGTGGTGTGTGTTAAGGGGGCTGGTGGTATTTAGGGGGCTGGTGGTATGTTAGGGGGCTGGTGGTGTGTTATGGGGGGCTGGTGGTGTGTTATGGGGGCTGTTGGTGTGTTAGGGGGGCTGGTGGTGTGTTAGGGGGGCTGGTGGTGTGTTAGGGGGGCTGGTGGTGTGTTATGGGGGGCTGGTGTGTTAGGGGGCTGGTGGTGTGTTAGGGGGCTGGTGGTGTGTTATGGGGGGCTGGTGGTGTGTTAGGGGGCTGGTGGTGTGTTAGGGGGGCTGGTGGTGTGTTAGTGGGGCTGGTGGGTGTTAGGGGGGCTGGTGTGTTAGGGGGCTGGTGGTGTGTTAAAGGGGCTGGTGGTGTGTTAGGGGGCTGGTGGTGTGTTAGGGGGCTGGTGGTGTGTTTAGGGGGCTGGTGGTGTGTTAGGGGGGCTGGTGGTGGTTAGGGGGGCTGGTGGTGTGTTAGGGGGCTGGTGGTGTGTTAGGGGGGCTGGTGGTGTGTTAGGGGGGCTGGTGTGTGTTAGGGGGGCTGGTGGTGTGTTAGGGGGGCTGGTGGTGTGTTAGGGGGGCTGGTGGTGTGTTAGGGGGGCTGGTGGTGTGTTAGGGGGGCTGGTGGTGTGTTAAGGGGGTGGGTGTGTTAGGGGGGCTGGTGGTGTGTTAGGGGGGCTGGTGGTGTGTTAGGGGGGCTGGTGGTGTGTTAGGGGGCTGGTGGTGTGTTAGGGGGGCTGGTGGTGTGTTAGGGGGCTGGTGGTGTGTTAGGGGGGCTGGTGGTGTGTTAGGGGGGCTGGTGGTGTGTTATGGGGGGCTGGTGGTGTGTTAGGGGGGCTGGTGGTGTGTTA